AGATGCAGATTCAGAGCCAATCTGTAGCCCCAGAAATAAGTTATTAGAAGACTGTCCCCAACTGTAGAATGGGAGTTTAGTCCACCAGATCCCTGTCCCCCATGGGTCAGACCCATCATGCTCGCTGGTACAGGCATGATACTCACAGTACTAGATGAACGGTAGGGGGTGGCCTCCTAGTATCTCAACGCCAGAGAAAGCCAGATCCACTAGCGCATACATGTGTCATCACAGCCACTCCTGCCAGTCATAGCTTAAAGGCTATGAATGCCTAGAACGGTGCAAGTAAGGTGTCATCTGGCAGCACCATCCGGCTACTCCCCACAGCTCCCAATTGCAGTGAGGAAACCTGGCAACTAGGCCCAAGTTCCTTACAGCTCAACGGCACTAACTAGCACTGGGGACCCCACAAATTAGGGGCAACTTACGTTTAGCAGCAGAGCCAACAAACAGCTCAATCTTCACTGCTCCATGATTAGGCACACACTCTGCAGGGTCTGGGCTTCACCACAGCAGATCACAGCCATGGGCCTGTAGTCTCTGCCTGCTAACTCATCCAATGCAACTACCTGCCATGGTGAACATCTGTCATGGAATCCAGTGCTAGAAGTTTACAGGCCTTCCCCACAATTGACACTAGAAAGAGGAAATGCTGGAAGTAGGAGAGGTTATGCAGGGCTGAGTCAAACTTTGCCATTTGCCAATCACTGGAGGTGGAGCATAACCCAATGGTCCAAGAGTTAACTCACCTGTGTCCTATGATATATATTTTAAGAATCCAGGTGCTCTACCAGGGTTTAAGAATTAACTTAAAGATTCATAGGATGTTTCCAAATCTTGCAAGAAGGGTGTACAATACAGGATCCCCTTTTGGTGCCATAAACTATGAAAAGGGACCTTAATTGTGGGGCTCATTGTTCCAGGACAATGAAGGCAGGAGAAAATACCTCTTTGGACACAATAGGTACCAGAGAAAGGAGCCCACGAAGGACAAAAAAAAAAAAAAGGCTAGAAGACAAAAGTATAGCCACCAGTATTACCTGTAGGCTTCCTGCAGTCAACCATTCCCCGTGACTAACTTATGTTTTGTTCTGCTCTGTGTTTGGAGGCAGCCATCCTTGTAGAGGAGTTGAGCTTATATCAGACTTGACTGATGACGCAATGAGAAAAGCAGCAGAAGAGGTGCAGAAAGCAGATATTTAAAATGAAGCAGGCAGATCCTTGCACTTCAGGTCCAGCTTCTACTCCAGCAAGAACAGTGACCAGCACAAGGATGACAAACAAATCTCATTCAAAATCTGGTGAGATTAGCAGTCAGAGACAGCAGTGCCTTAGACAATCTCACATTGCAGACATACAGCTCAAACAAAACACATTGCTAATTTTCATAAGGAACCCAAGGCAAAAGGCATACCTTCCAGGGTACAGCTTATGGACCAGTATCATTTCTAGACAATTCCTAGAAGATGGCAAATCTTTACTTTGTGAATTAAGGTCTTCTTTAAAGTTGAGGCCTCATTCACACTGGCAATCCTGCATTTAGCTTTTCTAAAAACACAAGAAAAATTATCCAGAAGTATAAACATTTAGGCTTCCCAGATCATTTTTTCCTGCGCTTAGATGTTCCTGCTTTAAAGCTGTTTGAGCCTGCAAAGTTTCCCTATGGAAATTATTGCTGTGCACCATGCCCAATACCACACAGGATCATCAAAAATCTTACCAGCAAATAATCAAAACCTAATGCACTTCTACAGAAAGCTCTTCATTTATTTTAATAGTTCATCACCAGCTTGTAAACCTATTGGATTTCAAAAGTGTTCATGTACTGAAAGATTTACTTGCCAGCTGGGAATGTTATACAATTAAACTTCTGCCTGTAAAGTATCCCATCTAGAGGTAACCTTCCGAAATACAGGCAAAGGTTTGTATCCTCTTAGTGGTTACCATTACCTATTGGTCAAACCACAGGTTTTCGGCGCCTCATACACCATCAGAATATGCCCATATTTCCTTGCATGCGGAAACGTGCAAGTGTACATTCAAAAATGACAGTGCACCTCGCAATCCTAGCTGGTAGAGAAAAAAAAAAGCAAAGAGTAGTTTCTTGCCATTTTAATGTGCTATGTATTCTTAACGTATTTACGCCATGTCTCAAATGGAGGACTTACTGGGCGATACAGGAAAAAAATACTTGTATTCTGCATTTATACCAATATTATATCCAAAAAAAAAAAAAAAAAAAAAGCAGTTTTAAATCAATTCCTAGGGAGAGAAGACGGAAAAAGAAAACAAAGCAGTCACCACATGTAATTTTTCACCAGGTGATCTTGCCAGTAACACACTCCTGGGGGGCAACAGCCTTTAAGCTGGGCAATACACTGGTAAATTTCTATGCAATTATTATACAGGATTTATATAGCGCCAATCGTTTGAGCAGTGCTTTAACATTTGTAATTTTTACATCAGTTTTGTACAAATCGTGTCAGTACATTCCATAATACCATCAGATCTGATGAATGTCATTTGAATGTACTTTAAAATGGCTTTTACCATTTGATTTTGGAATGAATAGAATTATTCAGGCTGAAACCCACATTCAGTTAGAATTACGCTTGTTAAGTTTTACAATCAGTGATCACTGATGTCACCCTATTAACTATTAAAAAATAAAACATTCTGAAATCAAATTTCTTCAGTACTAATTCTACCCGTGGATGGCCAGCTTTACTCCCTGTACTGTATCTATACACAAGCAGGGCTGTCACCTTGTCTAGATATCCCCAGTATAATCTGACACTGGCAACTGAAACTTTGCATGGCTAAAATACAGCAAAGGTGACTGATTACACTCCTTTAAAAGCTGTATGCACACTTCAATGGAGAGCTGCTGGAGTGATGCACTACTCCAGCAGCTCTTCGTTGCTGTCTGCAGTAGGGGGCAGTGCGATGCATGATTCAGACAGCTCCTGTTTTTTTTTTTAATAAACTATATGTGAAGTGTGCAAATCGCACACTTCATTCATGACAATGTAGTGCAGTGCAATGCACTGTGCTGCGATAAAATACAACATATCTGCATTTTGTTGCCGTTTGAATGGGACACATAGTAAAGCAGTTTTCTGTGTGTCCTTGCGGTGATGGATGTTTTACAGTGCAGTAAAACGTCTGTCACCGTAATGTGTGAATTAGACCTAAAACTTGCAGGGGAGACAGATTTATAGATATTTAGTAGTTGAGCTTTAATGAACCAATTACACTTTCATATTCATTGTACTGGCTGCATTGTTGCTAGTAAGGAAAAAAACTTTTCTACCAGGCATCATCTGTCACCTAAAAAGAGAACTAACTTCAGCTTGCTATACATGACAAGTACACTTCAGATTTAAAAAAAAAAAAAAAAACCCCGTAAAACAAATGTTGTTTAATGTCTTTTAATAGCAAACTTACAGAACAGCACAGAAGACAGACAACATTAAAAACATGTATCTGAATGCAGGACAACTCAAGTTAGAAAAAAAAAAAATAGAGTGAATGGATGGAATTTACCATATGGTAAAATGCTACAAACATTTAGTTGCCATCAATAAGAAATTTACTTATTTAAAAAAAATCCAAATGCTGGCATTGTCCAGAAAAAAAAATATTTTAAACAGGTCTATTTATACTTTTATTATAAAGTTGGTGTTTTTTTTTTCTATTTTAAACTCACTGAACAAAGTTTTTGTTGTAGTTGAATGTGTTTGAAGAGTACTCTGTCACATGCACAGTGCGGTCTGCCGTTTTGTGAGCGCTAGAAGGAACGTCACTTGCCAGCATATTTGGCTCAGTCAAAACCCTTATGAGGAAGTGGCGCTACCCAACGTCCATGGGTTGGGCATGTGACACTCAGTGACTTGATGTTCAGTGCTCTAGGACTAACATGGTTACCAGGAGACAGAAATTGCTGCTTCATAAAAAGGTAGAAAATAGCCTCCTAAAGGCCTGATGAACTGGCAAGCGACATATACCCTTCAACAAGTACACCCTTTGAATTAAAAAGGAACTGCAGGCATCAAGCACCTTAAACAGCTATGCTGATTGCAGTTAATTAAAAGACTAGTTGATGGCTTGGGCTCCAAAGTGGCTTCTTCCTTTGTGTGTATGTGACAGGTACACTTTACATAATGCCAGTTAACCCAAAACAGATATTTCACTTTGGGAGAGATTGTGGTGGGTCAGGTCACTCAAGCTTCCTATAGCTTTGAAAATCTAGCCACAGAATCTCCAAGATCCCATCTCTGCACACCTGCCATGAGGCCAAACAATATATAATGTAAATGGATATTTTCCCTGTCTTCATTGTGATATATGGGAAAGGAAAACATTTTCCATAAATATTTGTTTATAGCAGGAAATAAAAGCAAAAACTCTGACATGTTGAGTGCACAAAACTTAGTGGCAATGTGATGATTCAAATACAGAATTCTCATTTTGGCTGCCTGTAAATCAGAGGCAGATGCTTCCAAAAAAAAACAAAAAAATAAACAAACCCTACACTGTTAGAAAAGCACCAAGTACAAACAGCCAGAGTTTATTCTCAATTAGAGTTTCCCTTTAAGGTTACATTAGAGGGACTGCAGCAGGAGAATTAAGACTTGTTTTGAGACATGACTATGGGGTACAGAGGCAGGAAATCACCACTGTAGTAAGTGTACAAGAAGTTAAGTAGGTGACAGAAGCCACCAGCACCCGTCCAGAATTGGAATATCAGTTTTGGATGGACTGATCCTTTCATGTAAAATCACACACGTATGAAAATGGAAGAAATTTAGCACACTTGAACCTGTCCCCCTACATTTTCCATTCACAATCATATATTTAGGTACCTTTAACCCCATGAAGAAAAAAAAAATATATCTAAACGCTCAAACTACCAATTACACGGAAGAAGAGATTTATTTTTTTTTCGGGTTTGAAGATGACAATGTTTATCTCAAGATAGGAATATTTTTTTTTATTTCTTAAGCACGCTCTCCACGGATGCGGCGTGCTAGCTGGATGTCTTTTGGCATAATTGTGACACGTTTGGCGTGGATAGCACACAAGTTGGTGTCCTCAAACAGTCCGACCAGGTAGGCTTCACTAGCCTCCTACAAAGACAAAGTGTGGGTTAGGCTCAGATTTAATGTCAAGGAATCAGATTGCATAACACAAAAGTTCATAAATTGATGACAATGGGCTGCAAAATTCATATGGTAAGTGAGCTAAACATTTACAGTGACAATACTGCAGTCTTACCTTTCAGAAAAAAGTATGTGCTGTTATTCTCTTCCATACTCTCCCAAAAAGAACAAGGATAATGATCCAGCACAAACTTAGGGCAACCATAAAGGCCGACCTGCATCTGGCCTGATCATGTGTCCCAACTGCTAGAGGAAAAAAAAACTGTCACACAACAAAGCCTTATGTTTTTCATTAATTCAATCTTAACAGCACCCTTGTTATATGACAGTTGTTTCGATTGTCCTAGCAATGGGCTAGGGTAAGGTATGGTATATGGCCTTAGAGCTCAACACATCCACTTTGATGGGGACAGAATACAAAAAACACAACAAAACACCCAAAAAAAATTTGAGAGAAGACTGAACTATTATAACATGTGAAACTATTATAAATGATTGCACTTTCCGACATACAGCCATGAGGAAGAGGGTATAAAACCTTTATATGCAACACCAGAGACATGAACACGATCATCTTTTTGGTGTACTTTTCCTTCTGCTTGGTCTACCACCCTTTGTACTAAAGGGCTATAAATTTAGAATTCCTATGCCTAAAAGATACCCAGGGCCAGGTAGAGTTTATAGGCCACTGTTTTGCTTTTATGTTCAAAGTCCACATCAGATCCTGCAGTGTTGAGTTTGCGTGTACTCTGCCATATAAAGCAATAATGCCCATGCTCAAAGTATAAGCAATCCCTTGCAATGGATATCAGTGCTCCAATTTAGTCAAATATATCACGAAGGTGTGTTAAATATACTACTGAGAGCAAACAGTCTGTTATATCTGTTTCAGAAGTGCAAAAAAAAAAAAAATCCTTTTCTCTGCATTCACGGAAGGACACAGTGGAAATCCTTAGATCTTGACTGTTGTGACCTCCTAAACCAATATCAACTGGATGGAGGAACAATTCCCCAGGCAGTGACTAACACTGCTGCTTGCCACGTTCCCCAACTGACGGACAAAGATGCAAAGACTCGTTCCATATGGAATAAATTGCCCTGGGTTTGTTCGATATGACTTGTAGTGCCACTCCAATCTAGGCTTCAATGAAAAGAGAAAATCATGGTGCAAAATGCAAAACTCAAAACTGGAAAACAGCAGCCAGATGCTGAAACACCCAAAACACTGACAGATCTGGCAGAGTGCACCGGAAGAGGGAGGAAACCTATACCTAAGACCAAGTTTGTTTCATGATGTGTCTTAGCCACGATAGATGGGACCAGCAAGGACAACAAGAAAACAACGGCTGTGAGATGGACACCCAACACAAAGTCCAGACAATGAAGGGAGAATTATTTCAGGGGACCAGAAGTAGAAAAGATGGATAGAAAAACAGTGACTTCTGCTCTCAGAAAAACAGTGACTTCTGCTCTCAGAAAAACAGTGACTTTGCTCTCAGGTGACTTCTGCTCTCAGAAAAACAGTGACTTCTGCTTGAAAAACAGTGACTTGGGGTGGGGTTGAAACAGCAACTGGAAGATTTTTTTACCTTAATGTATATATTGTATTAGAGCCACTTTGACAGCTTCCTGACCGCCCTATAGCAGAAATACTGCTACAGAGCGGCATGGGTGCGCAAAATCATGTATATATACATGATTTTGCATTTCCGGTAGGGGGCGCGCGAGAGCCCTACCCGCACCGCCATTCGCAGCCACGGCTATCCATCACCGGGTCCTGGCTGGCAATTACTCACTGGCACCCGGTGATTGCAGAGCATCTCCGACGGGGAGGAGAACGGTTTGTAAAGCACATGGACACAGCACACAGTTAACCCTTCCTGCCCAGTGCCATTAGTACAGTGTCAGTGCTGTTTTTTTTGGGGGTTTTTTTTTTAGCACTAATCACTGTATTGGTGTCACTGGGGATGTCAGTGACACCAAGTAAGTTCCCCCAGTGTCAGAATGCCCGCCGCAGTCCCCGCTATAAGTCACCATTACTAGTAGAAAAATAAAAAAATCCCAGTATATATACACACCGCCATTTGGAAACGCTATAACTTTCACGTAAACCAATTAATTTACATGTATTAGGATTTTTATTTTTTTCTCGCAAAGACGTAGCAGAATACATTTTGGCCTAAATTTATTTAAAATTTTCTTTACTGGACATTTTAACAGCAAAAAGTAAAAAATATTGTTTTTCTCAAATTATAGCGCAAAAAAAACAAAAAAAAAAACCAAAACCGCACAGGCGATCAAATACCACCGAAAGAAAGCTCAATTTCTGGGGCAAAAAGGACGTAAATGTCATTTGGACGCAGAGTTGCATGATCGCGCAATTGTCAGTTAAAGTAACGCAGCGCCATAATGCAAAAAATGGCCTGGTCAGGAAGTGGTTAAAGTATAACTAAAAGGCAAAACTTTTTTTTTTTTTATATAGTTTTGGACAGAGTGAAGAGGGATTAGAACACTTGTCAGTTTTTATTCTTGCCTGCCCCACCCATTAGGGAGATTGCCCCCCTATATGTCCTGCTTGCCATTGTCACTGAAAGTAAAAGAAAAATTCCCCAGATGTGCTGGGATTTCCTTTACTTCCTGTGCCAGAGCCAAACAAGAAGTTAAAGGGAAATCTCCCTTATGGGACACAGATGGGGAAAAAAGTCAGAGAAGGGTTATAACCCTCCCTTACTTTATCCAAAAAATAAATAAATAAATAAAAAAAGTTATGCCTGTAGTTCTACTTTAAGCATCTGTAAAAGCCCCCTAAGGTATACAGTAGCTTTCACATGGACAAAATCATACACAGGCAGTACCACCAATGTACCATTATCCTGTTTCAAGTGAATGTTCAAACCTAACCCAACAGCCACTCTTGCTGCAGAAAACCCGTTCCAGAATCCCAAGGAGAACAGTCACCTGATCAGTCTCAAAGCACAGATCACATGACTGGCTCCCACAGGGACCCAGAGGAACCATTTTTCTGGCATTTTATGGAGCACATCACTATTCCCTATAGTTGGGCCTAGTGCATAAATGACATAGGATACTGGAAGCACAAATCATAAATGCTGCTAAAGCCCATTAGTATTTTGCTTAGGAGGGGAAGTGGTGGGAAAGACAAGATGAATTATAGAACTTTGCTTTTAGTAAACTCTTTATGTTCATTATTGAAACAAGACACATACAACCAAGCTGCATCACATAAAAAAAAAAAAAGAAGGGGCAAGCAGAGACACAACATTAGGGTAAAGATATGTGATGGAAAGCACCAGAAAAAGGTTGTAGAGTCCAAAAATATATTTTTAGTACAAGGTGGTACTCAGTAAGCCAAAGCATTTTTTGGATTTCCAGTGGGTACCCCCTTTATCGGTGCTAAGAGAGGTGTATTGTGAACAATAGAATAAAGAAGAAAAATAAATCCTATAACATATGTTGTGTATAGTCGCTACCTTGGCAGTCTGGTGCAGGCTTCTGCTTTGAGTGTACGTGAACCCAATAAACGTATTTACTCCCCTCTGCTCTGCAAAATATATGACTGAAAAGTGTTTTGTTATAGCTGTTCGATATGTGCAAAACAGTGCCTGCCAGAATTCTTGTGAGCCGATAGCTTTCTGTACCCTCTACTTGTGCTGCATTTGTTAGTGTTCCCAGCTATCTCTGGGGACTACAGAAACCTGCCCCTTTATGGAGCAGAAGAGAGGATGCGTTTTCTATAGTCCTTTGTTGTCCTTACACAGTAGGGCAGTGGACTGTTGTGTCAGGAAGTGTGTTACTGGCAAGATCACTGGATTTAAAGTGGTTCTAACAGCAAAAGGTTTTTTTTTTAACTTTATTGCATATGTAAAAAAACCTTCCGCTAACTGTCACGCCCCCCCCCCCCCCCCCAAACACTTACTTGAATCCTCTATCAATCAAGCTCTGTGACATTGTGCAGCTCTTTTCCCTCTCCCTGCTCTCACAGACTTCATTGAAAGCAGTGGAAGTCATTGTCCCCCCCTGCTTGTCAAATCCTGTGAGGAAAGAGTGGGTGGCATGGCTGAGCCACCCTCTGCTTAGGAGGGGCATTTCCACACATGTACCCCCCCATGCAGGACAGGAGGAGCAAACTGCACCAGCAGAGGATGCCAAAGAAAGTGGTAAGAGGCCTCCTTATTTTAAAAAAAAAAAAAAAAAAAGTGACTTTACAAATTGCTTTAAAAAAAAAAACATATTGCAGTGTGTCCCCCATTATTATTTTAGCACAACTATAACACAACTATCTTAGCACAGATCAATCCCTGATGAAGAAGCCCTTTGGAACCAACCAAAAATATTGACTATTAAAGGAGAAGTTCACCTTCAATGCAATCTTTAAAGTGTGTAGTGCCCACGATGAATTTTAAAGATCACTTTTCTCCATCTATATCCTATAATGATGTAGGTTACAAGTCAAGCCATCGCCCATCTTTTCTCATGAGGCCTAAGGGAATTTCCCTACACAAAAAACATAACTAGGATCCCTGCTTAGTCAAAGTGATCCAGCAGCCCCCCCCCCCCCCCCCCCCATCACCTCTAATGTTCTATGTAAAATCTGAGCCTCTAACGTTAGGCTGCAAAATCACTCCTCTCCCACTGCAAAGAATTTTGCTAAAACTAATTATTGGATATATTTAGTGGTTCTATCTTCTCGTTTTAAATAAAGATCATGGCTCTCCATTGTCTTCAGAGTAGTTAAAGAGTATGTTAACCCAACATTTCATATTCCCGATAAGTGCCTTCTGTACCATGTACTTGTACATGAAGTATCCTGTTCTCTTTGTATTGCTTCCTTTGTGTGAAATCCCTGGTGTTCCTGCCAGTCCCTCTGCTTTCCTATTAAAACCAACCACACTAGGAATGACAGCATAGTGCTCAGTTCTCTAGCTATGCTGCTATTCACTAACTGCTCTCCTCCAATGATCAAACTTGTCCCCTTGTACAGCCATTCACTGGGAAGATCAGTGTGTTGCAGTTTTTCCTCCCCAGCTTTTATGCAGCTAAGCACAGAAAATATGTGATCACTAAAGAAAATTAAAAAAAAAAAAAAAAAAAAAGTTTAAAATTTTTTTATATGTATACACAAAAAATGTTTTGCCTTTCATTTCTATTTTAAACTGAGTGGTTTTACAAGGTGAGGGTTTACATATACTTTAAAGGTAGAATACGCAGGCAAGCAATCTTTTAATTACATGAAACGTTAAAGTATTAGATGTTTACATTTATTACTGCATGGCCAAAGCAAGGAAAATATGGTATTAACTGTGCAGTAAACAATGTACTACAGACTACAAGACTTACAGTATTCAATGTTGAAGAAAAACAAGAGCGCAGGTAATTATTTTTGTTATTACGCTCATCTGTTCAGGCTTCATTAAAAAACCAATTATTCCACTGAATAGCTTTGGTGGAGACAGACAGCTGATGTATGCAACTGATGAATGTCACACCTCACAAACAATGGGAAGTGTGCTGACTGAGAATGAAGCATCTCCTTTGGTTGTAGGACAGAGTACACAAGGTTCAAAACCCACCAGGTCTTTATTGCCGAGTCCCCACTGAGGAGATTCACCCTCTCAACTGTTATGGTGACCATTATAACTGGGGGAAAAAGTGATGGGAAATCCAAAATGGTTCAGTTGTCACTGAAACAGCAATAGAGGGAAAAGCTTCTGATGGGGACAGCTGTTTGAAAGGAAAACCCCCCCCTCACTTTGTGGAAATCAACTCTTACTTCCAGCTGTGGAGACAGGAACTGAAAGGAAATATACATAATGGGACACAGAGCAGAAATAAAACCTAAAAAAGGTAGGGAGTATGAAATTCTAAACCCCTTCCAGCCAACTGTACGTATATATGCGTCTTCACTGAACTGGATTGTTTTCCGTGGGGCCACATATGCATATCTGTCTTTATGCTGAAAGTGCACCACACTCGATTGGGACCCGTGACTACCGATTCCTGGTCACCTGATCACTCTGATAGCCTCTGATTAGCTATCAAAGTGATCAGTCACTGTGCAGCCCACTCCCTTGTTTTCTCTCTCGGAATGGAGAGAAATACATATTACCTCTCTCTTCTTACGAGGAGAAAGCGGTGTAAACAAACAAATGTATATTATAAAAAAAAGTTTACACATCAAAGTAGTAGTAAATTCCGCTTTGAAATGTGTACCTATAGGCAAGCCTATAATAAGGCTCACCTGTACGTTCAGTGAATATCTCCTAAATGTGTGCCATTTAGGAGATCGTTACACTGGATGCAGCCGGTGACGTCACGGATACATGTGCTCTAAAGGGAATGCATACCTGTGCTGTCCCTTCAGAGCTCTGAGCCATAACCGCGACTCCTGTGCACAAGAAAGTGACAACGCGGCTCAACCAATCAAATGGCTAGAGCCCTCGAACCGGGAAGGAAGACCAGGCAAAGATGGAAGTCCTGTCAGCGGTGACAGTGCACTGATGGAGGACTTCATTCTAAGGACATGGCACTCCCAAGAACATTTGCATACAAGTGCACCTGTCCCTCTTGCATCTCAGAGGTAGACAGTCTGTGTACTAAACCATCACTTATGAGAATGCAACCAGAGGCATTATTTCGAAATGAGTCACGTCTCCACATGCTCTAACAATTCAGACCTAAACAATAAATTTACTTTTGCTTTAAATTGATCAGGAAAGGGGGCTAGAGTTATGAGTCTTCAAAACTTGTCTATTGGCTGCAAAAAAACAGGTGCTCTAGGGCTACGCCACATGGCCTAAACCCAAGACGTTGGGTCATGAGACGAACTGTAGCTCTGAACAGAAGGCACAATGCCAGAAAGGTGTGCTTTGAGTGAAGATATGGCATTGTCACTCAAGGCCACGTGACGCAGAATCCACGCCTAAAGGGAATTTGCCTATTATACCTGGCCCTATACGGATACTTTCATTCTTTTACCCTGCATTTTATCTGCACTCATTTTCAGCTCTTAAATTAGAAACTCAAAAAGGTTTTGAGGATACTGGAGTTCTGAAGTCGGCTGTCCTTCGCAATTACATCCTGGGCCAGTGACTCAAAGTTTAAAGCAAGTTGGTGAACATTAAAAACCAAATAACTAGAATTGTCCTAAACAAAAGATTAACAACATTTCTTTCAAAAGGGGTTTTGTTTAGCTGGAAAAAAACAAAAAAGGTTACCTGCAAAGCACCAATAGCAGCGCTCTGGAAGCGCAAATCTGTTTTGAAGTCCTGAGCGATTTCACGAACCAAACGCTGGAAAGGAAGCTTGCGAATCAGCAACTCAGTGGACTTCTGGTAACGCCTGATTTCACGGAGAGCCACGGTACCCGGCCTGAAGAGACACAGTCAAGACATTCCATAAAAAAAAATCCTTTAGTCATTTTTTCCTTTAATTTGAACCACTTGCTTCCAGAGTATTTACCCCCCCCCCCCCCAGGCCATTTTTGCGATACGACGCTGTGCTACTTTAACAGACAATTGCGCAGTCATGCAACACTGCACCCAAAAATAAATTTATGTTTTTTTTTCCCCCACAAATAGGAGCTTTCTTTTGATGGTATTTGATTACCTCTGCAGTTTTAATTTTTTTGCGCTATAAAAAAAAAAAAACTATTTTGAAAAAAGCAAAAAAAAAAAAAAAAAATATATATATATTTATTTTTTACTTTTTGCTAGAACATATCTAATAAAATTAAAAAAAAAAAATCTAATTTCTTCATAAAAATTTAGGCCAAAATGTATTCTGCTACATGTCTTTGCTAAAAAAAAAAAAAAAAAAATCCCAATACGTGCAAATTAATTGGTTTACGTGAATGTTATAGCATTTACAAATGGCGGTATATATACTGGAATTTTATTTTTTCTTTATACTAGTAGTTGGGGCGGTCAGCAACTTATAGCAGGACTGCAGCAGGCACTGACACTGGTGGGAACTGACAACCCCAGTGACACTAATACAGTGATCAGTTCTGATAAAAAGCACTGACACTGTACTAATGACACTGGACAGGGAGGGGTTAACATCTGGGACGATCAAAGGGTTAACTGTGTACTGTGTGTTTTACATTGTGTGCTATTTTACTTAGGAGACATGCCACTTTGTATTTCTCTGCTGTGCACAGAGATGGAAAGCAGCATGTCCATGCTGACAGGAGAGAGACCTGTGTTATTTACACACAGGTCTCTTCCCCTGTCAGCTTTGCTGACAATCACAGAGTGCCGGCTGGAAATTGCTGGCCAGGACGCGGTGATCGACATGCCCAGTCATAGTAGAGCGGCGTGCACCCCCCTACCCAGAAATGCAAATCACATACACATTAATTATACACACAATAATATATATATTATATACACACGTACATACATATGTGCACACACACACACACACACACACACACATGCAAACGTACATACATAAATACATATATATGTGTATACACACACAGAAACGTGATTATGCACAGCTGTGCCACCCTGTAGCAGTACTTCTGCTATGGGGCGGATGGAAAGTGGTTAAAGATGGGAATATGGTACTTCTCAATCAGATCCAGACTGACCTATACACGCATTCATATACAGCACTCCAGGCATGATATAGATAGACAACGTGGCTGGTTTCTGTAGGCAGCACAAATTCTTTTTTTCACTTTTAGTAATGAACACCAGGACTCTTTTTGCCAAGTCTAAGCACAGACTCCAAAGTTTCTATATAAAATTAGATTTGCACAAGCAACACTCAAGAACAAAAATGTATTATACATTTTAATGATGAAGTGGCTGCATTATGTTTTGTTTCTGGCAGTAGCACACTTCCTATCCTAGGGTGACAGCAGTCCTCATACTGAGTCTGAAGGAGCAGTACTGCCACCCTATGAACAGAAGTGTGTTGGGTCTACAGAACACCTTCCCCTTTTCTCATCTCTGTAACAAGTTTTGCAGTCTGCAGGAGGAACAGGAAACAAAGCTAATTGATAAAGTCCAGCACAAGAAGCGACCAGCTCACTGGATTTCTGGCAGAATCAACTATTTTTTTGCACACACGCACACAATAATACTATCAGCTGTATATTTAAAGTGGTTGTAAAGGCAGAAGGTTTTTCACCTTTATGTATTCTGTATGTCTTGAAGATGCATAGAGCTGGACTTGAGAGTGAGCATGCACCAGTGCCCCCTGTAGCAAGCGTCTTGCTATTGGGGGCACTGGTCAAAGGGGAGGTGCCAGAAGCACCAGCGGGGAACCTAGAGAAAGATGATTGGGGCTGCTTTGTGCAAAACAACTGCACAGAGGAGGTAAGTATAACATATTTGTTTTTTTTTAATCCGAACCCTTCATATCACTAACAGTTTACATACACTTTAAAATTATTCTTCACATGTAGATCAGACAGTTAAGCAAAAGTGATAGATACATGGGTCAGGACAAATGAAACCCTGCCAGGGGTGTTTTAACAACTGCATCAATAGGAAAAAAAAAAAACCCACAAACAAACCATGTGCATAAAAAGTCTTGTTTGTCCAGTTCCCCCCCAGCCCCCTTAATACATACTTGAGGCTTATCTCAATCAGCGCAGCAGCTCTCTCCTCGCTGGACATGGAGGCAGCAGCGGCAGCCATTGGCCCATGCTGCTGTCAATCACAGCCTGTGAGGAGAGAGGCGGGGTGGGGCTGAGCCATACAATGAGTGACTTTGGACACACAGAGCCCATGGCTCTGGATGAAGCCTGCAACAGTATCCCCATAGCAAGTTGCTTGCTATGGCGGCATTCAGCAGTGGGAAGGAGAAAGGAGTGCCACTGGGGGACCCCAGAAGAGGAGGATCATGTAAGTATGACGCTTGTTATGTATTATAAAAAAAAAAAAAAAAAAAAAAAAAAAAAAAAAAAAAAAGGAGGTTTACACAGTCACTAAGTAAGGAAAACAGATAGTCCAGCCTTGGACATTCAGAAACAAAGCTTGTTTTTACAGGTTTTAGGGGTTCCAAGTAGCTTAAAAATGAACCAAAAGGCAGAAACAGACACTTGACGGTGCTTACTATTCAATCATTTTTCTGAATGCAAAAAGTTGTTTTTTTTTTTTTTTTTTTTAGAGTGTTAGCTCACCATTACTGACTTGCTAAAAACATCCTAAAACATTATGGTATTTTCAGTATATGCATTCTGTGAGAGTGTAAGACAGCAAACTGTGCATGATTGTAAGCTCTAATGAGCAGGGCCCTCTGTTTCCTCTTGTACCAAATTGTATTGTAACTGTAATGTCTGCCTTCATTTTGTAAAGTGCTGCGCAAACTGTTGGCGCTATATAAATCCTGTATGATAGTAATAATGAATGGTTGAGTGCTTGTTTGTGAGTTTCCAGAGACACATCCAATGCTCAGTACATCCTGCCATCTGCAGGACAAAGAGGGGATGGCAATGAAACATCTTCTACAAAACGGAGCACTGCATGTAATGTACTGAGAACACAAATGCACAGGATGCTTCTGCCATAAGTCAGTAAAGATGAATGAACCCTTCAAAATGGAACCCCTATCTTCAGACAGTGTGGACCGACTAGCCCTACCCTTTACAATGGCTACAGCTTCTGAAGCTGTAATTTTACACTCACATCTAGCATGCACCAGGAAAACAATAATGCAGACTTTGTGCTAAGCAACTTGATGATTGAGACAACCACCTCCTGGGCCTCCTATACCAGTATCAGGAACCGCAGCTGGTACAAAACCCAAGTCCAGGATGTGGGCAGGCCACTGTGCAAAAACTAGAGCTCTCTTCATTTAACATTCATTTTGCTATTGTCAGATAATACTTTCATTCAGAAGTGTATATGACAGCTATCATTTAAAGCTACCCCCCTCTCTCAACCTTTCCACCCCAGAAACTAGTCATAGGTGACAAAAACAAACAATATGTTTGTCTAAAAACAGACAACACAAATAAATAAATAAATAAGGAAGGACAAACAGAACAGACATAAACAGACGACATTTGCTTTTGTCCACAAAAACAGAAAAGGTTGCAGAACTTTTCAGTTTTTTCTTGCGATTATAAAAGGAACTCGGAAATTAGCGGACATACGTTTGTTTACATACGCCTGCCCATAAACTTACATTGCGGTGCAGTTTGGATCAGTCAAAAAAACTGAACAGATCCAGTCTGAACACCTGTGAGTAAGAAACCTAAAAAGAGAATCCCATGTAGAACAAAAAAAATCAAAAGCCTTAAATATGCACAAACTCTGCCTCATTTGTTAGGAGAAGTAACACTAGTGATCAATGTAATCTCTCTACTTCTGACAACTGACTGGCCACTACACGACCAGATTTTCAAATATGATCCACCCTATTGAGACAACATCTGGCCTGAAGTGTGCTTCATACTTCTAAGACTGACATCACTGACCATTTTCTCACTCCACCTCCCCCCTCCAACACAGCTCCTCTCAGCACAGTGCAGCACTTATGTCACTGCTACTTAGAAAAGATAACTTTGTTTGCAAAAGTTATTCGGTGAATAAAAACTGGATTTATATTCTTTGTGGCCATTAATGCTGTCAGTTCTTAGAGGGATGTGGTTGGGGTTCCTAACAGGTTTCCCCACTACAAGTTTGCTGAACTAGGGCTAAGTGATGACACGACCACTTATCGTTCAGATCTCAGGCTGATCTGAGCGGAGACTGTCAGGCACCGCTCTCTGCTTTGCCTCTCCGGCACTCACTGGATAGCAGGACTGTGGAGAGGACAGGAGCAGCTGGCTCAGGCTCTCAGCAGTGTGCGACTTCAAGGCTAAGCCACTGACCTGCCAAAGTATAGAGAAGTAGCACAAACACTCATTTACAACATGCTTGTTAGGGACTCTAAATGAAAGAAGGTCAGACAAAGCCAGGCATCAAGCAATTTAAAACCAATGCCTGCAATGGCAGCTTCCATTCTTTCTTCATGACAAAGTCACTTTAAATCCATCTAAGCTCTTAGACGCATAGGAGCCACATTTTATGTTCAGAGGATCTAACGTCCTTTTGGTCTGTCACAGTGGTCCTGTAAGAATTCTAACTTCCCTGTATGTCAGTATTTGCATATGGCTAGGCAAACCTACTCCACACAACGGAGCTCAGCAATTACATCACTCACGCAGCAAGCACTGGATTATGGATGGGAAAAGGAGGGAGTACATGTTTTCAGCAGCAAATCAGAGAGGGAACAGAACATTTGAAGGTTTTTCTCACTAGATACCTGTATATATATATACACACACACACACACACACACACACACACACACACACACACATATACATACATACTGTACTAGGGGCAGACTGACCATTTGGAAACTCAGGCACTGCCCGAGGGCCCGGGATAAGTAGGGGGCCCCATGAGATGCCCCTGGTACCTTTTTCATAGGCTCTTTTGAGTTTGGGCAAGGACACAGGGGCCCCATGATCACCTATTGCCCGGGGGCCCCATGAGTTGTCAGTCCGCCCCTGTACTGTACACCCACTTCAGCTGTGAATGTCAGTTGCTCTTCACTGGATGGAGCGAATTCCATGTAAGGTGTTCCCAATCATATATAGAAAACAACCAACAGCTGCAGCACGCAACAGATTTTATTGAAGAGAATTTACAAAGTTTCAAGTGAAATGTTAGTTTCAAGATGAAGACAGGCTTGCAAACACATCTAGTAACAATTTAACAAGCATATTTATGTAAACAGGAATGAGAAATAAGAATCATCACCAGGGTAGGCACACACAGGCAGAACTCTGTATAAAGAAACTACCTACGGGTTTTGATCAGGATTTTTTTTTTAGTTTTAGGTCTCCGAGGAAGACTTTTTTTTCTTTAATTTATTAATGTTTTATTTGCCTTGGATTTGCATTCTCAATACAGATTACTGCCTATGTGTATACTTACTCTGGTCATTGTTCTCTTTTCTGGTTCCTATTTACACAAATACGCTCACTTATTAAAAAGATGTGTTTTAAAGCCTGAAAGGGTTTTAACTTCAAGTGATATTAAACTCAAAAAAAAAAAAAAAAAAAAAAATGCTAACAGGCAGGGATTTTATGACAGAAGAGACCTAATGGCCTACTCTGTCATAAATGCTTCCCCCGCCTGTCAGCGGTAATGTACACTACACGGCTCAGAAAACATTTATGGCACCAGCTTTGTGATGTGATGAAGTGACTCCTGTGAGCATGTGCGGGAGTGACGTCATCGCGGCCAGCCATTCAACCTAGAGAAAGACCGGGAGAAAATGAAAATGCCTGAGCACTGACAGCTCATAACTGGAGGGCATCCTTTAACAGGTAAATCTCTCATAATGTGCTACTGTGCAGGGCACACTAACATATTATAGCATAAACCTATAGGGGGTCCCTGTTTATAACTTTTTTGTGTGTGCCATTTAATAACGCTTTCAGGCCAATATTCTAGCATTTCATATGAAACACTTCGATGAAACTTTGTGACTTCACTTCAATAAAAGCTCCCAAGTGCTGCAACCGTTGGACACATATACGAGGGGTGTTCATGTCAAACCAGGACTTTTAATTTTACAGATAGAAAAAGAGATGCTAGTGTGCAGTTATCACATGCAGTAGTGAGTGGCAAGTGTGTCTTATTGCTGCAGGCCAGTCCAGAGACCGGTAATCAAGATGGCAGACAACAGTGTTCGTGCGTGCATGGAACAGCGTGTGCTGATGAAGTTTCTTGTGAAAAGAGGCTTAAAACCTGCAGATATTTACAGAAGACTTAAAGTACAGTACAGTGATGAGATGGTCAGTAAGACATTTGAATGGTGTACGGTAAACGTTTCAAGCACACAACAAGATGCATTACAGAACAGTAAAATGCATTTGAGGTGAGAACACCATTTATTTTGACAACATCCAAATGTTTACATACAATTTGCATAATAGCAGTGTCTGAAAATATTTCAGAACGTCTTTTCTGCAAACGCTGAGTGTATGTAAAGCCAGGATTATTCATTTTATCATATGATTAAAGCCTCCATCAGTTTATTTTTTGCTTTTGTTGGAAGGATTTTCTCTTACCTCCTCTATTATACAGTTGCCACCACCAGGTGTCTCCACTGAGACTTCTCTATTCATCTTCTGGTGACAATTGTAAACTCTTGGATTTCCTGTCATCTTTCTGTCCTAATGACAGTAGTCACCAGGATAAACAAAGAGGGTAAATCTACAAGATTGCTCATTCACAAGGACTGCCAGGGTGTGGTAAAAGCAGGCTGTTGAGCTGCACTCATACTGCTCTTCTAGAAAAAAAAGCTTCTCAGGACTGTACACATGCAAAGCATCACAACAAAAATTAAACACCATGTCACATTTGATGAGCAGTACCTCAAACGAACATCACCTCTTCAAGCGAATGGACTGCACCACAACCATGTGCAATGCTGTGGGTTGGCATTTTGAAGGTTAAAAACAGACAGTGAAGGTGGCGACATATCACCTTCCCACCATCTGTCAATGCCTCTTGAAAAGTGATCCACCCAAGACAGCTTTTCAGAAGGGAAGCAAAAGCCAAACATGAATCAAGCCTTAAGGTTCATTCTCATCTACAGATTGCAACCAAAAGTGGGCTTGTTTCCATGTGTTTTTCTGACGTAACGGCAGGCAGCCTATTCATTTCAATGGGCTGCTCTACCTGCAAGAAATGCAGAAAAGAATTCCCTGACTCTGTAGCACACTGAACAGCATGATGCTTCAGCACCTTGTGGTTTGATATGCACATATACCAGGGGTGGGCAACTGTGGCCCTCCAGCTGTTGGTGAACTACAAGTCCCATCATGCCTCTGCCTTCGAGAGTCATGCTTGTAACTGTCAGTTTAGCAATGCCTCATGGGACTTGTAGTTCTACAACAGCTGGAGGGCCACAGTTGCCCACCCCTGACATATACAGATGCGTAGGGGTGTCATTAACAATTAACGGCACCACAGGCGTCTGCTAAAGGGCAGTGTATTTTCCTGTGCGTCGGGAAAGTGTGCGTTCCCAATGCGCAAAGATATGGACCTAGTCAGTTACCAGACAGCAACAAAAAATTTTGACAGGGCTACAGACAAGGGCAATAAAGATTGTTTCGTACTTTCAAAATCATCTATTTTATGACAGGTACTTATATAGCACCTTCAATTTACGCAGCGCTTTACATATATATATTGTACATTCACATCAGTCCCTAACCCTCAAGGAGCATACAATCTAAGGTCCCTAACGCACATTCATACATACATATACTAGGGCCAATTTAGAGAGGATCCAATAAGCCTACCAGCATGTCTTTGGCGTGTGGGAAGAAACTGGAGTACCCAGAGGAAACCCACAGAGACACAGGGAGAACATGCAAACTCCAAGCAGGTGGTGCCGTGGTTGGGATTCAAACCAAAAACCCTAGTACTGCCAGGCGGAAGTGCTAACCATTTAGCCACTGTGCTGCCCATATATTTTCCAACAAAGTTTTAAATTTGATGGAATATTTTTGAGCAAGAGGGCCAAACCTTGCTTTATTCTCACTTAGAACGCATTAACCAAGCGTGTGCCCGCAGTTGTGCTTCACTTTAACTTAAAGGTCACTGACAAGCAGATGTGTTACCAGCCTGAAAAACATTTAGAAAGTATTGCTAAAAGGCTGAATCAACACCCTGCAGATATCTCACAGGTGTAAAGTAAACTTAGGTGAAAAAAAAAAAAAACCCTGTGGCATGTGAATCCTCACACACAGACACTCCTCTACGACTGTCTTCCAGCGCTGTACTTGTTAAACCCACAGCTCTGTGTATATTGGCTGATGGCACTCTGCTGCCCTCTATGGTCAGCTCCGGAGCAGCACACAGCACAACGCCAGTCTAATGGGAACTGTGCCAATTCTGGCGGACTGAGAAGAAAAAAAAAAAAAAAAAACATCAAATGTGCAGAATGAGCCCCAAACCATACTTTAACAAGCCCAGCCAGGTCTGGATTATTAAAATAATGGTTTGGCAAACAGCACATTGAAACGACAGGCTTAAATGTCAAGCCATTAAAAAAAAAAAAAAAAAAAAAAAAGTAGTAACACTACAAAAAAATAAAAATAAAAACAAAAATGTAAACTTGACCAAAATCTGCAAATCTGCATGTCCCCCATCACTGCCATTACCGCATCTGCTTGCTGTCCATTCTGCATTTTGTGCGGTTAATGCTCCATGAATGGTTCATCTAGTGAATAATCGCACGATGCAGCGCACACTGTCACCAGCTCATCCATATAAAGCCACCCTCAAATAATCATGCACAAAAAAAAAATATATGACATAACACTCCTGCACTTTTTCTTGTTGTACATGCAGGCTAGAATCAGAGCCTCCCCTGCGAAGCACACACTCCTCGTCTGGCCGCTGCACAACATCGGTCCCCCCACATGAATTCATCACCAAAACAAAAATAAGCGGCTAAATTGTGCCGCGCATGCGCGGAGACAGTCGCGCGGCACGGGCACCCGCGCTGGCTGATCGCATTACCTGTAACGGTGAGGCTTCTTCACCCCTCCGGTAGAGGGCGCGCTCTTCCTCGCTGCCTTAGTGGCCAGCTGCTTCCTGGGGGCCTTCCCTCCGGTGGATTTACGGGCGGTCTGTTTGGTACGGGCCATCTTACCGACGACGGATGGGTCCTAAACCTGATCGGGGGGAGCGGAGGGGACAGGAAATACAAATAAATGTTGTAAATAAGGCGGCAATGAGGTGCCCCCCTCTCCTCCCCTCCCAGCCCCGCGCTCCGTACATCTCCTCGGCTCCCAGTCACCTAACATGACCGACATTCAAACTGTGGCGCTCGCTGGCTGCTGTGTGCTCAGCTCTCCTCCCCCCTCCCCCCCAACTTCCTCATTTACATGGAGGGCAAGGAGCAGATTGTGGGGGGCAGGCAGTCCTGACCCCCCCCATACCCCGACCATGGAGGGAGGAGAGGGGGGTCCTGGTCTCATCACACTTTGCAGGATCTGCTTGCACTGCTATCATGGTGAACACATTCGATCAAATCCCTCCACCCTCATCAGACAGATGAGATCAATGTGGGGGGGGGGGGGCACAGCTCCGGGGGCCCCATACTGGGGGTGGGGGGCCCCATCTGGGACCGGGCACACTGGGCAAACTCCAGCCAACTGCCACTCTCCTCCAGCAGCTGCTTCACCGCCCCTCCCCCAGCACCATGATGTCATCATCCAGCGGGTTAGACCCCCCCCCTCCCCAACAGTTAGAGGGGGCCCCAGGGTAAAGTTTGAGGGGGGCCCTGTGTGTAGTGAGGGATCCAGGAAGAGGGGGGGCTGGGATTCCCACACCTGGCTGGAAGTGTCGGAGTTCCCGGTGTTGTTACATTGTATCCATCCACACAATGCAGCAAAGACCCCACGTGTAGGACCCCCCCCCCCCCAATCAGTACGGGGGGGGGGGGGGTAATAGAGAGAAAAGAGGGGGGGGGGTGTAACAAGGATCATCACCCCCACCATCCTCCCTCACAAGGTGCCCCCAGCCCCCCTCCCTCCTGTGTCCTCCCAGCCAGGCAGGAAAGATGGTGACCGGACTGAGAAGACAAGATGGTGAGAGCTCCGCACACTACCGGGGAGCGGGGGACACCGGGGGGAGCTTTGCACCCGATTTTCTCCACTTTCATCCGCTCTGGGGCCCCCGGGGCCACTCTCACCGGTTGGCTGGGGGTGTGAGGGCCAGCCTGGTGCAGGTGAGGGGGGCGCCGGGCGGAAAGAGCGGGAGAATTCATCGAGTGAAGGCGGCCTGGGGTGAGCGGAGGGAGAGCTGGCAGAGGACGGGGGCCGCTCATCCCCGACGCTCTACACCCTCCAAACTTTATACCGGGAGGGGGCGGGGGAGACCGGGGACAGGACGGCCGGGAGATGGGGGACACCCGGCACCGGGACGGAGGGTTCTCTGGGGGCTCGGGGGTCCTGGAGGGGGGCGGGAAACTTACCTTCCCCGCTACTGGAGACACACAGAGCTCAGGCGGCTGCTGGCTGCAACAATTGAAAAATGGCTGAACGTTGGTGTGTCCCAGAGAACCGCCCACTCACTGCCCGCCGACCAATCAGGAACAATGGAGGGCCGGCCCGGGGCTGGGGATGTGTGTACAAACACAAAGACATGCTCTGCTCTGCTCTACTCTACTACTAACACCGACACCACCACTGATAATACCGACACCGCCACTGATAACACCGACACCACCACTGATAATACCGACACCGCCACTGATAATACTGACACCGCCACTGATAATACCGACACCGCCACTGATAATACCGATACCACTACTAATACTGACACCACTACTAATACTGACACCACCACTGATAATACTGACTCCACTACTGACACCACTGATAATACGACACCACCACTGATAATACCGACACCACTACTAATACTGACACCACTACTAATACTGACACCACTACTAATACTGACACCACTGATAATACTGACACCACCACTGATAATACCGACACCACTACTAATACTGACACCACTACTAATACTGACACCACCACTGATAATACTGACTCCACTACTGACACCACTGACTAATACTGACACCACTACTGACACCACCACTGATAATACCGACACCACTACTAATACTGACACCACCACTGATAATACTGACACCACTACTGACACCACTGATAATACTGACACCACTACTAATACTGACACCACCACTGATAATACCGACACCACTACTAATACTGACACCACCACTGATAATACTGACACCACTACTAATACTGACACCACTACTAATACTGACACCACTACTAATACTGACACCACCACTAACACTGACACCGCTACTAATACTGACACCACCACTGATAATACTGACACCACTACTAATACTGACACCACTACTAATACTGACACCACCACTGATAATACTGACACCGCTACTAATACTGACACCACCACTGATAATACTGACACCGCTACTAATACTGACACCACCACTGATAATACTGACACCACCACAAATAATACTGACACGGACACCACTAATAATACTGACACCAGTAATAATTCTGATACCACCACTAATAATACTGACACTAATACTGACACTGACACCACTAATAGTATTGACACCACTACTAATACTGACACTGACACCACTACTAATACTGACACCACCACTAATAATACTGACACCACCACTAATAGTATTGACACCACACCACTAATACTGACACCGACACCACTACTAATACTGACACCGACACACAACTACTAATACTGACACGGACACCACTAATAATACTGACACCAGTAATAATTCTGATACCACCACTAATAATACTGACACTAATACTGACACTGACACCACTAATAGTATTGACACCACTACTAATACTGACACCGACACCACTAATAATTCTGATACCACCACTAATAATACTGACACCACTAATAATACTGACACCGACACCACTACTACTAATATTGACAGACACCACTACTATATGACACCACACACTAATACTGACACCGACAACGCTACTACTAATACTGACACCACTACTACTAATACTGACACTGACACCACTACTACTAATAATGACACCACTAATAATACTGACACCACCACTAATAATACTGACACTGACAACGCTACTACTAATACTGACACCACTACTAATACTACTACTAATACTAACACTATATAGTTGCCAACATTTGAAAACGTTTACGGGAAACTTTTTCTGTGTGGCAGGAAATCCTCTGTAATTAGGAGCGGGGCATTCATATGTTATGGGTGTGGTTGTAGCCATGGGGGAGTGGGCGTGGTTTAAAATATGCCAAATATTGGGCATGGCTTACAGGGGGTGTGGTTTATAGAGTTTGAGATGATTTACATAGTACAGAATGTGGTAAAGTTAAATAGGGAATGTACAGTGTAGGATGGAGGTGTGTGTTTGTAGGATGGAGTTGACAGGATGGAGAAGACACATGATGCTAGTGTCCTGGAAATCCGAGGTCAGGGTGGGGGCAGCGGCAGATAGGGGTTCCTAATTCTGCAAGAGCTTAGAGTAGTTAAAAGATGAACAACTTTTCTGGGGACAATTTCTCCATTTTCAGGTGCTGCAGACTAATCTGCAGTGTTGCGGCTTCCATGCATTAAACTAATGGCCTCTTCTACATCAATCCACCGGAGCAATCTGGCGGATTGATACAAAAGTGTCTGGGAGTTTAGTTTACTAAGAGGAAACAGCTGTGCTACAGATTACTCCGCTGCACCCGAAAATGGAAATAATCCCCAGTCTGCCATTACCCCCCCTTTTCCCCTGAGCAAAAAAGGCAAGGACAGTTTTTAATCTTTTAACTACTCTAGGCTCTTGCAATAGGAACCCCTATCTGCTGCTGCCGCCACCCTGATCTCAGATTTCCAGGACACTAGCCGGGACCCCTGCCGTGATCTCAGATTGCTGGGACCCCTGCCCTGATCTCAGATTTCCGGGACACTGGCTGGGACCCCTTGCCCTGATCTCAGATTTCCAGGACACTGTCCTGGACCCCTGCCCTGATCTCAGATTTCTGGGACACTGGCCCGGGATCCCTGCCCTGATCTTAGATTTCCAGGACACTGGCCGGGACCCCTGCCCTGATCTCAGATTTCTGGGACACTGGCCCAGGACCCCTGCCCTGATTTCAGATTTCCGGGACACTGGCTGGCCGGGACCCCTGCCCTGATCTCAGATTTCCTGGGCACTGGCCCACTGGCAGATTTCCGGGACACTGGCCCCTGCCCTGATGTCAGATTTCTGGGACACATTTCTGGGACACAGGCCGGGGCTGAGGCATGATGGGACATCATTTAAAAATTTGTGACTGTCCCGGGAAATCTGTGACAGTTGGCAACTATGATACTATTGACACGACTACTACTCAATAACAGCTCAGGAGTGTGTATACAAACACAAAGACATGCTCTGCTTTACACTACTACTAATATTGATACGACTGATACTACTACTGAGGCTCCTCAATGAGGGGGGGGGGCTGACTCATCACTTCTGATACTACTAACCAATGACAGCTCCCACTGTGTGTACAAACACAAACACATGCTCTGCACTCCACTGCTACTACTGAGACTTCTAATTACCGGTACATTGTTTCTGCAAGTACAGTTGCTTCAGAGCTTAGCAAATGAGGTGAAGCTTTACTTTGCAAAGAATACCCAATCACATGCAAGGAAAATAAAAAACATCCCCTCATTTACTAAGCTCACGAGCAACTGCACTTGCAGAGTGCAGTCTATTTACCTTTAGTAAATCAACCCCATTGACTGACTGATGGAATCTGATCATTACTAATACTAATACTCAGTGTAGAAAATATATATATAAATAATAGTGCAGCGCTAATAAACTAAATCACCATAAATTAAAATTCATGGGCTAAACAAGTCAAACACACCTACGTGTGAATAGTGACTAAAAGCATAAAAAATTAAATGTAAAACATATAACATATCTTAAAGTGACAAATTCATCTTCGTGCCCTACACACGTGCCAGCAAATAACTCAACAATGTTAAAATAAAAGACATATATCATGGGATATGCCACTTCAAATCTCATAAATG